CCATTCGCTCTATGTATGTTGTGTGTGTTCTTTTGAATTGCATTCAGGAGGGCTGAATTACAGTCTTGCACTACAGCGCCACACTGGTCAAACCACATTATTGCAGGCTCTTACATTAGCTTTTTTTTTAGTCAACATTGTCGACTAATCGTTTTAGCCCTAGTTGAAAGTAAGTCTTAGTGCAGTTCAGCTTTTTATTGTACAAGTATGTAACACATAGTTAAGTTTGTAATTCATGTTTTGTATGTGCATTATGTGATATATGTAAATTATGCTATCCTAATTTCATTGTACTTATGTAAAAGGAATTCATCATCATTCATCATTAAAATTGTCTTGTGCTGTTCCTCAGGTCCAACAGTCAGCCATCAGGGACGAGCAAAGGTGGGCATCACTTGATTCAGCAAAACAGCATTTTGTTTCAGTTATTAAAGGAACAGATCACCAGTGTTTTCTGTGGAACAACAGAAGCGTTTTTTAAAATTAATTCTCCGATCTCTTTTCTATACTGCTCCAAAAAGGACAAAAGAACACCATACAAGTAGTTTGTAGTAGTTTTACGTCCTTTGTGAAGTCACTATCACAATAAACTTCGTTGTAAAAAGTCGTTGTATTGAAAAAAATCTTCAAATTCACCTTTAGTAGAATAGGAAAAAAATAACAGAATACGTGACATGAGGTCAAATAAATAATGACAGAATTTTGTTCATTTCCTTTTGTTGTTGTGATAGGTAGGCGCTGTTACACGGTATGGCGAGGGCATTTTGTGAACGGGGGGAAAGACGTGTACCAGGCCAGCCTTCGATCGCTCTCTCAACCTTTCCTGCCCTACAAACTGTGAGTCAACAGCAGTCACCATGTGTGTGTTAAGTGACACCGGGCATGTGATAATGAACAATGGCTGTTGTTGTTTCAGGCCAGAGAAGATTGAGATCGGTAAAGTCATGAGCCTGCAGCAGGTCAAGCAGAAGATCCCATCTGCCCTCTTCTCCTGGAGCCTCTACACGGGCAGCCATGAAGGTTTGAGCACTAATTTAACAGCCTATGCTTTAATCGCCTCACAGATTCCAAGTAGTGGTCAACCGATATATCGCCCGATCCGATATTATCAACCGATATTTGGCATTTTTTTTTAATGTTCAGCATCAGCCGATAAGTTTTTTTGACCTGTTTGGTTGTTGTAAGCAGGATTTTTATTTTGATAGAAATATGAGCACAGGATCGGAGTGCAGACACATAGCTCCCATTCTTCAGTAATCTTCATTAGTTTACTCTTTGACTATCAGTTCTTTCATACAACGTCGCTGCACTACGGGCATCCCAAGTTCAAATCCAGAGCTGGGTAGTAACTGATCACATGTAATCTGGATTATGTAATCTGATTCCAAAAATTAAGTATTTGTAATTAAATTAAATTACATTTTAACATACTCATAATCAGACTAGTTACTTTTTATTGATTACATATTATTTACACAATAGCAAAAGATTATTCCTAATTTTTTTATTCTCCCTAATTCCTCTTTTTCATCTTTTAAATGTTCCTTTCTAAAATAGAGTACTGCTTATAAACACTCAGAAAGTCTTCAGGTTTTGTGGACGTTCACACAGAGATCAGTCATTAGTCAGGTTTACACAGCATTTGAGCACTGGATTTACAAAAATAATTTCAGGTTTAAGAAGTGTTTCAACATTGCATCAACACATTAATGCACACATTCATTTTTATTTGAATAATCACTCAGTCGGTTATTTAACCATGTACTACTATTCTTGGAAGGCGTTTCTCTTTCAAACACATTAAAATGCACCAATTCATTTTATTTCTAATTTACATGTAATGCAGGCATTCCCAACCTTTTTTTGTCAGCCGAACCTCTTTCACCTAATATATTTACTTGAAGATTTTATAATAAAAAATAGAGTACTGCTTATAAACACTCAGAAAGTCTTCAGGTTTTGTGGACGTTCACACAGAGATCAGTCATTAGTCAGGTTTACACAGCATTTGAGCACTGGATTTACAAAAATAATTTCAGGTTTAAGAAGTGTTTCAACATTGCATCAACACATTAATGCACACATTCATTTTTATTTGAATAATCACTCAGTCGGTTATTTAACCATGTACTACTATTCTTGGAAGGCGTTTCTCTTTCAAACACATTAAAATGCACCAATTCATTTTATTTCTAATTTACATGTAATGCAGGCATTCCCAACCTTTTTTTGTCAGCCGAACCTCTTTCACCTAATATATTTACTTGAAGATTTTATAATAAATATTTTAATTAAGTTTTGCATGATCATGGTTCTTTGACGTTAGTTATGGTCACATGACATGAAGGCAAATAAATAAAATTTTAATTTTTTAGTAAGTGTTTTATTTTGATTGATATTTTAAAATGATTTATTTTAATTGTAAATTTTTACGATTTAGTTATTATTAGCTTTTCATTAAACTCAAAAACCCTTCACAAACCCAGTTTGAGAAACCTTTATGTCGTAATTTAATGATTAATGCACTTCATGTTGTTAAATACAACAAATGGAATATATTTTCTTTCTCTTTGTATTTTTATATCAATATGGTACAAGATTATCCTGTTTAAATCAATGTGAAAATCTAAAAGTAATCTAAAAGTAGTCTGATTATATTACCTAAAATGTAATGATTATGTTACTAACTATAATTTTTGACATGTAATTTGGAATCGGTAACAGACTACAATTTGTAAGCAATCCACCCAGCTCTGTCCGCAAATATGCAAGTCTTTGAGTATCTAATAAACATTTCATGCCACAAACCACACAAACTATAAAAGATGGAGAATGAGAGCTCCTGTTTGTCTGTAAACATAACTAGTCATGATATGACATGATTTTCAGCCAAAGTATAGTATATTGTGATATGCATGTTTGTTTTGTTTCTTTATTGTTGTTTTGCATATTAATGTAGGGATGTTAATGAGAAAAGATGATGTGATGTAAATAATGGATCTGCTTTGTTATTGTAGTGTCTAAAAGTGGCATGTTCTGCAGTCTGTTTGACGTGGTGGAGAAAGACAGAACTTCTCCGAAGAGCTTGACAGCATTGCTGCAGAAACTGGAGGAGGAGGGTCTGGTGAGCATCAGTCCTGATTCATGTTTCTGCAGCTGTGTGCACATGAGCTGATTGTCTCTTCACTGCAGGTGCTGGTGAATATGGTGAGGGACAGAGGTTTCCTCTTCTTGCTTTCTGCCAGTCAAATGGACAACTCAAGCGGTATGATCTAATGATGGTCAAATGCTAGTGTAAAAGTAACCGATCTTTGAAATATCTGAATGAAATAGACTCTATTTTGATTTTACAGAGCGACGAGGCGGTTGGAAAATGTCCTCTATACAAGCACTTTTTATTTACCGTGAGAAGCGTGACTGGTTGAAGAGCGGTGAGTATTTGGAGAGATGCATGCTGTTAAATTGATGCATTTCCTCTTAGAGCCAGAAACGTATTTAATGCAAGTATGCAAACACAGACGGGAATGCTTTGCAAGCACTTAGTCTCACTCTTAACGGTTCTTGTGGAGAAAATCAAATTCATTACTCATGGGGGCGATTGTATTGCCTTCAAATGTCTGTGCTATTAAACAGATGTTATCGTTCATGTAGATATTCATAAACGTGCACTGTTTATCTTAATTCAGCTAACTTGGTCAACGAGGTTCTCTTCAAGCTAATGTTGTCGCAGTGCCTAAATTCAATAGACTTACTGATACTAATGAGATTTAAAGAGTCTCAATACCAAAGATGAAATAAAATACACATCCTAACTGTTTAACTTGGTTTTACTTTTTTCTGTAAATAATAGCATTATTAAAATAAATTAGTATGAACTTAATAGTAAGTTAAAGCAATTAACAATAACACTTTGCTGAAAGACTACAAGTATAATGCTTTGTAAACGTATTCATATTATAATGCATTGTATATTTTCATAAATGTAGCGACGTTAAAATGCATTATAATATTTGAAGGTTTGTTTTTGAAGTGTTTTAATGCATTATACTTTCTAAAGGTGTGACAATGAATAGATAAGTGTTATAATGCACAGTGTTGGGAAGGTTACTTTGGAAATGTGATGGGTTACAGATTACAAGCTACCCTATTTGAAATGTAATGAGTAGTGTAACTATTTTAATTACTTTATTAAAGTAATGTAACTGACTACATTTGATTACTTTTCTAAATTTAAATTTCTAAATTTTTCTAAACTGTTAATCGTTTTGAAACACGTAAAGCAGGCAGGGTTAACCTTACAGTAGTGCTCAACACTGATTACTGTCAGACTTTCTAAATCCTTCATCATTTGAGTTAAGATCAAACGTGTCCTAAACTCCTGAAACATTGGTGTCTCATATTTTAGAGCAGTCAATGCAATTTTGGAAAGAAATCAATCAATCTGTATGTGTGTGAAAATATTAAGATGTAACCCCCTTTGTAATCGTTAACATTTTCATAAGTAACTAATTTAACTACACTTTTTTTTTTCAACTGTAACAGATTGCAATTACATTTATTGGTAACACTTTATTTTAAGGTACATTTACTTACTATTATAATAACAATAAATTATGCATAATTACGTGCAAGTAACCCTAAACCAACCCCTAATCCTAACCATATAGTAAGTACATGTAGTTAATTAATATTACTCAGTACTTAAATGTATAATTACACTGTAACAAGAACACCTTAAAATAAAGTGTAACACATTTATTTTGTAATTAAATTATGTAACGCTGTTACATTTAACTAGTTACTCCCCAACACTGATAATGTATTATGTATTTTATAATGTATTAATGTATAACTGTGGTATTCGTGAAATCATACAATGCATTATAAGGTGCATTACCAGGCATAATTAATGCATTAAAACTATGTTTGTAGTGCATTATATATGTGACCCTGGAGCACAAAAGCAGTCATAAGTAGCGCAGGTATATTTGTAGCAATAGCCAACAATACATTGTATGGGTCAAATTGATAGATTTTTCTTATGCCAAAAATCATTAGGATATTAAGTAAAGATCATGTTTCATGAAGATATTTTGCAATTTTGCTACCGTAAATATATCAAAACTTAATTTTTGATTAGTAATATGCATTGCTAAGAACTTAATTTGGACAACTTTAAAGGTGATTTTAATATAAATATTTTGTTATTTCAATATTATAATATTATCTCAAATTTTTTTGCACCCTCAGATTCCAGATTTTCAAATAGTTGTATCTCAGCCAAATATTGTCCTGTCCTCACAAACCATACATCAATGGAAAGCTTATTTATTCAGCAAAATTGACCCTTATGACTGGTTTTAGGGTCCAGGGTCACATATAAAGGCTTTAAATAAAGTGTTAACCAATTAACTAACCTTAAATTATGCAAGGAAATGGTGACAATGAAGAATACATTTTCCAAACAGCATTTTGCTTTTCAGTATTATTTCTGTTTAATTTGTATTTTTCTAAATTGATTTTTAAGATTCAATTGACAGTGGCATTCAGAACACAACAATGTACAGAATCAAGCTGCCTTTGCTTGAAGTGTCTGCGTTTTCATATTTGCATAGAGTGTGTTTCGCCGATCAGATCTTAATTTTATGATGTGGTAATGAAACCGTCTGTGTCTTGGTAAAGCATCGGAGAGCTGCAGAGTTGTGTCGTCAGAGCATCACAGTCCCATCATGCCCCAGCACGACTGGTTTGTCTCCGCTCTCCACTGCGCTCTGAGCAAGGCTCGCGGCGAGCCTCCCGCTGACCTCAGTGCCGCCGTAGAGCAGCAGGTTTACGACTACCTCACTCACCTCCGCGAGGGCAAGCCCCTGCAGTGCGTCCGCACCGACTACGACCCCAAACTGGACACCAGGGAGAAGCTGTTTCCCGCGCCCCGGCAGAAGACCAACTGGGAGAGCTTCGTGCGGCCCTACATCTACAAGCCTGCCGTGTTCACCATGCTTCTGGAGAGCGTGAAGGAGAAGGTGGAGGAGCTGCGGGGTCAGCCTGAGGGAGCAGCCCCTCATAATGACCCGGGCAAAGTCCAGGAGCTGCTGAAGCTCATCCAGAGGAACAAGAAGAGCTCGAAAGGAGAGGAGGGAGATCCAGAGCCGGCGGAGGACTCCTGCACACTGAAGAGGAAGCTGGATCTCGACGCTCATGAGGGAAGCTCAAAACGCCAGAGAAATCAGCCCAACGCAGAATTAAGAGAAGGTGAGGAGAACGAAGGTTAGGGCTGCACCATGAACCGTGTATCATGATTTCTGTTTCTCTCGATTTATTACGCATAATCGTCTGCAGTATTGGCCCGTCGGTTGTTTATCATGTAAATATTTTTTGCCATTTGCGTTATCTTGCATCAAGCCTCCACAAGCTTTCATGGTTGTGGTCGCCAGATTGCATGTAGTTTGAAGTTCAGTGATCTCTATTGAGAGGGTTTGCCCAAAATAAAAGTATAAGGGGCTGTTCACACAGAACTAGTGTTCATTTTGTCAGCCATTTTTAATTTAGTCTTAGTCTTAAACCCCGTTTACACCAAGGATGATAACTATAAAGATAACCATAAAGATATAGTTATAAAAATCGTTCTCAATATTAAAGAACAGAGTCCACACCACAGCTATAACGATAAAGACACAGAGAAATGATATCGTTGTGATCACTTTCAGAACTATTATTATTTAGATAAACGATAAAAACATTGACAGCCAATCAGATTCAATCCTGCTGTCACGAGCTGGAGAATTTAAAGCGGCAGATGAGAGTGCGCTTAGAATAAACAGACGATATTGGTGCATGTGGACGCTAATATCGCTATCTTTATAGTTATCGTTCTTGGTGTGAACGGGCCTTTAGACTTTAAAATTAATCTCTGTGTCAGATGTGCTTTTTACTTATCATTAATTTAAGCCTAAATTTAGTCCTGAAGTAGCTCTAGTCTTCTTCCAGGAAATCAGCCTATTAAATTCTGGACTAGACTTAAGTCTAAGACTATTTAAAACCATGACAGAGAAAGCAGATTTCTGCTAATCTGGTTTAAAGGGCCATTTTAGTCTAGGACTAGGCTTAATCTGTCCGGGAAACCACCCCTAAATGTCTGAGCATTTTAGTCTAGTTTTAGTCAATGAAATCTTTTCGTCATGCTGTTTAATGGTTAAACTGATTTAAATTTAAAACTGATTTAAATAGTTAAATAATTATTTGTGCTCAAAATTATAATTGCAATGATTGTTGTCATTTGAGAAATTTATTTTTGCGTTTCAGGTATTGCACTTTCACCAGTAAGCACAAATCAATAGAATGTGGACACATACAAATGGTTTATTTTACCTCATCTAATGCACTGATTTATTATAGGCTATTTGTTATATAAATTAATAACAAAGACTTAGATATGCACGCTCTCTGTCTACATTATGAACACTGGTAAAAATAAAATATATATATATATACATATATATTATAAAAGTGAAATTCCTAATTTCAATAATTGCAATAATGTTTCTCTAACACAACAGTAAAAAAAATATGCAAAGCAGTTGGCAGAAAATGTATCCTTTTAACAGAGAAGCTCTGATTTGAGGATTTAAACTTTTGATATCTGGCAACCGCAAACATGAAAGCTTGCGTAGTAGAGGCGTGTTCAGCAGTCCAAATATTTTGTCTCTCTTTTTTCGACAAAAATAAAAAGAGATTTTGGTATAGTTTTTATTTTTTTAAATACATTTTAGTCTCGTCTTTTATCGTCAACGATATTGCATGTTGATATAGTCATAGTTATTGTTTATTGACTTTATTGTCATCTCGTTTTAGCCATGGAAAAAAAAGCTCGTCAAAAAACATTTTTCGTTAATGAAAATAACACCACACAGAACGCTATTTTCTATTGTTTTTCTATGTAAACGAAGCTGTACGGACGTGAATGACTGTTGCACTTGCGGCTTTTGCAGCGTCTCGCACAAGCACCACGTTTTTAAGACGCCGTGTCAGGTTAAAATAATTTCAACTTTGTGCGTCTCATCAGTGTCAGTTCCAAAACAGTGGACCAATGAGAAGACTAAATCTCTGCAAACCATGCAAATTGACTTTCTCTTCAGTTGTTGTAATTATGTAAAAGTTATTATTGCAGTTATGTAAAAGTGCAATCATTTTGAAGAAGAAATGTAAAAAATGTAATGACAGCAACCATGATTAATAAAAGTGATTATATTTTTGAGCAAAATAACTGTGATTTAACCATTTAACCGTTATCATGCAGCCCTAATGAAGATGATCTTGTAAAAAAATAGACAGGAGATGAAGATGCAGCTTAGTTTCTCGATGCACTAGGTCTTGTTTGTACTGAAAATGTGCTTTTGAGGAGGAGTTTGAACTAAGGCTGTCAAAATGGCTGAAAAACTAAATTAGAATTTGGTACTTAAATATTATTAATATTCGAATTTAAAAGGCATAATTTCAGTTAGGGTGAAAAAAGCTTTTGGCTTCTCTTCTGAGGCCACAAGAGGGCACATTGAGCAAAATATTACTAATGCACGTTTATTCAAAGCAATAAAAGAACTTGACTATCTGTGAAAGAAGTTCACATATGGTATATAAACCATATAGAATTAAGTTGCTTAAACAATTAGAAACAAAACAGCATCATGTATATATGTATAGTTTAATACAGGGGTGCCCAACCCTGCTCCTGGCGATCGACTGTCCTGCAAAGTTTAGCTCCAACTCTAATCAAAGACACCTGCCTTTAATTTTTAAGTTTAATACAATGGACCGAAAACCGATCACAAATAGTACGATCTTCATTTAAAAAAAATGAGATGCAGTGAGATGGGGAAAAAAACGCCATAAAGTCTCGAGACATGTTTTTTAAAAAGGTGAACTTACATTAATTTTAAACATGCAGCTTTCTTGTGAGAGACGCGAGTGCAGTGGTGATAGATGTCCCTATCAGAAAATGCGATAAATATGCCTTCTGTGTAAACGGCTTGGTTTTGACATAAACAACATCTTCTCAGCATTGATGTTCTCTTTTTCCGCAATATTTTGAATGAATAACGTAGCAGCGCTGCGCTAGTGCGTTCAACTGGATAGGACATTAAAATGCAACAAAACCTACATGGTCGTCGCATCTCGTGCGCCACTGATAAGGCAGTCTGACGCGCACACAAAATTCAAATGCAACGTTTTTGCATTTAAATATTAATTTTTATTTTAAATTCGACGAGTATTCTAAATTTAAAAAAAAAATGACAGCCCTAGTTTGAATTGAGTAACAGCTGTTTACTGTTGCTGTCAGTGGTTAATCTAGTGTCCTCTCTTGATCAGCGGACGACAGACAGTCCACTCCATCTCTGACTAATCTTCTGAGCAGCGTCGGTCTTCAGGACACAGACCTGAGGAAGAACAAGACTCAGCTGGGAGCGCTGAAGATCATGGAGATACTGGACCGCTTCGGAAAGCCCAGTCTTGACACGGACCTGCGCAGAGGCAAGAGGCAGGGGGCGCTGGAGGTCTTGAGGATGATAGACACCCTGACCAGAGGAGCCGCAGAGTCTCCTGAAGACAGCGCCACGACGGACATTTCTGACTCCGCTCTGTTCGACAGCATGTCAAGACTCGGCCTCCCGACCGACCGCGACATCGACCTCAGGGAGAGATTCGTGGAGGAGGAGCCCGAGAGGAGCGACTGTCTGGAGGTAGATCAGTGCGCTCAAACAACTCCACACTGCTCCGGGTGTGTGTTCACGGTGTGTGTGTGTTCACTGCTGTGTGTGTGCACTTTGGATGGGATAAATGCAGAGCACTAATTCCGAGTATGGGTCACCATACTTGGCCACATGTCACATGTCACGTTACTCTTAAAAATCTACACCCTCACAAACTCTACTTTAGTAGGGATGCCCCTAAATAGATGACGAGAAGACTAAAAAAATTTAGTTAGTCACAGAAAAAAGTGGTCCGTGTTCGTAATGGAC